TACCCCGGCGTTATTATCTAAATTAGGATCCTTAGATACCGGCTTTCTAGCTAAAATACCCCCTTTTAGATCGTTATCCGATCGAGAAGAGTTAAGATTAAGTTTATTAGGAAAAGTAACGTCCCGTAAATAAATAATCTCTTTTAAAGTAGGATTCTATACCTTAAAGATATAATTATTCTTACCTTTATAACTAACTAGATATCCTCTAAATATATAAGTAGCTAATTTCTCTAATTAAATACGTATCTCCCTCGGAATATAGATAAATACGATAGTACCCTATATACGAAGATATTTTAAATTAACCCTTATCTTACTAAGACTAAGGCCCTCCTACTAAGAGATAATCGGTATCTTCGTAGTCTTCGGATTAACTAAGCAATTATAAATATAAATTATAGTATCTACTCGATAAAGCTAAAGCTACTTAGGAAGCTTAGCGTCTATATTTATTATACGTTAAATCTAGTTAATATAATTACTTATACGCTTTATAACGCTATTCGGTTTAGATATATAGGTAGGCGTAATTTTAAAAACTATACCTTCTTCCTCTACCTATAACTAGAACTTATAGAATTTAGTTCCTTCGTTAATCCGCTAGAAAGCTAGATAACGTCTATAAAGAATCTTCTATCTCTTATAAAAAGTAATTATATAAGATATAATCTCTTCTTTAGTTTAAAAGTACGGTCCTTCGGTATATCGAGTATAGTTATCGATAATTAGTACCTAATAACGTTTACTACGAGGTCTAGGTAGGTTTATAGTTTATATATCTATATAAAACTTTATACCTAGCTTCTTTATACGTTATTATATATCCCGAGAAATCTACTTCTTAGCTTTACTAAGTTAATAAGCTTTATAGTTAAAATTATAAAGTTTAACCTAGTCTCCTTCCTCTAAAAGAATAGTATTAGAAAGAGAAGCTTTAATATATAGTCTTCCTATATAACTAAGTCGACGATAAATTTCGTAAGTCGAAATAGACTTATTAATTCGATTAAACTCTTTATCTAAATCCGAATCTAAATTAGAAGAATTCGGTTTATAGAAGTAAGTCGTTTAAATAGAAGATTATTATATCTTCTTTAGAATCACTCCTTAATAGAGTAGGCTATTAATCTAGGGTAAACTATTAAACCGTTTTACTAAACTAACTTCCTCCCTATTCTTATAAACTAGTTTTAAAACAATTAGATTATAGTAGATACCGTAATCCGCTTTAAAAGTATTAGATAAAAGTAGACGATCGGTAGTTGCTATATTATAGTAGGTATTAATAAGAATTATCTTAATTTTACCTTCCGAATTCTTAATTTAAATCGGCGCCTTACTATAACTAATTACTAATTAGACCTTACTATTAGTATTTATATAGCTATATAGCTCCTTACTAGGCTTATAAGTTAAGTATTCGTAGAAGTCCTTACGATATTTAGTGATTGTTTTAGAAGTACTACTATTAATTATCTAGTTATCCTCCGAAGAACGAGCTATATTAGTATAAGTAATACTAGCCTTACCTTTTTCTTTACGTATAATTATATAGTACTAAGTATTACTACGCGGCTTCTATCCTTCTATAGGTAGATCCTCTATTAAGTAGAAATATATCTTAATAAGATATTTAATATATCTATAGTAGGTATATTTAGAACTATTTATATATTATAGCTATTAATTACGCTACTATTCCGTCTATTCGTTAATCGACTTACCCTTAGGCGGCGTATTCTTCGTACCTTAATACTATTCCTTTTAATTATTTTAATTATCCTTATTATTATTATCCGATCTAGAGTTATATAAACTACCTCTATAACCTCTACTACTACGGCCTCGACCTCTTATTCTACCTCTATATTAATTATTATTATTATTATTTCGTATAACGTTAGTAGAAGCTTCCGGGTCGAATAATAATAAAGTAGGAATATCGCGTACTTTAATCGTTAATACCTTATATATATCGCTAAAAACCTTCTTTATAATAGAATCTAGTATCTTATTTTTTAAAGTCTTATAGGTAAACGTTACCGATTTAAGTTTATCTTCTAGTTATTAAAGTATTATAAATAACGCTCCGAATAGATAAGGTTCGACTTTATATATATTAAGCTAGTTATATTAGGTCTAGTAGGTATTAATATAGTCCTTAGTAGAACTAAAGTATAATCTCTTTATCTCGTCGAATTTAATTATCTTATATCTTATATTATTAATAATACTAGTACTATAAATAATAGACTCGACTTTACGTAATATATAATCGGCGTAAATCGGGAAATTATTTATATATTCTTTAAGAGTTATAATAATCTTCTAATCTAGAAGACCTTCGATCTATCTACTAGAAATCTTCGACTAATATCTCTATAGATTATAATTAGGATTAAATTCGGTAGGACGAGGTAGATTATAGTCGGCGACCTAATCGATTCGCGCTATACTTAATCTATTAATAATCTATCGTTTCTATCTTACTAGATTGCTACTATTAAGAGCTAATTTAATACTCTTATTAAGCTTAATCTCCTTTACTTCCGGAAGATTAGTCCCGTATATATATATCCGTCTAATAGGACTACGTTATTACTATTATAGACTATTAGAAATAGGATTATATTACTAGCGAGAAGCGGGGAGAGAACGTAAGGAACCTTCTCCTCTATTATCGTTATTATCGTAGGAACTAGTTATTTTAATTATACGTCGAGTGTCCGTCTTCGGTCTCGATCGAAAGAAATACGCGAATCGGTACCGTCCGTCGCGTCGATAAGGTAACTACGGAAAACGAAGCTTCCTAGATAATTAGAATAATAAAAATATTAACTTACGATAAGATCGTTAATAAAAATCAATAATAGGATCGATAGTCGAAAAGTAGAGATACGGAACGGGCCGAAAAACGCGTCCTATAAAAAAAAAATGAAAACTCTGATTAGTTGAAAATTTCAACGAAAAGATACTCGGAGTCGTACGAGCAAGGGCTTATAACCTATCAGATGGAATACAGGCTATGCAGGAATGAATGTTAACCTCAAGGGATTAATATTGTAGACTCTGGAGAGAAAGAAAAGAAGAGAAGAAAAACTAGCTACTGTCTAACAATATCCTGAGTTCTGTGGGTCAGGATCACCTGCGGCCCCACATGGCCGTCACGTGACTCTAACAAAGGTAATAAAGATAAATTACGACCGAGCGAGCTGTCAGGTTGTCAGGTGTGGCTAACTAGTAACGCACTTGGAGTTACTAGTAAACTTGGAGCTACTAGTAAAACGTCCCTAACAAACTATCGCTCGTATTTTATCGGACACCTGACAGCCCGCCGGTTTAATACATAAATTACCTTACAGCTCCCTTTAGATTATAGGTATTACTAGCTATTACTAGTAGAGTACCCGTATTAGGATTACACCCTCTAGGTTATAATACTAGTTATTACTAGTAATAACTAATTAACTAAAGCTATTAGGTGTGTTTCGTGTATTATAGGTGAAATATAATAATGTTTATTATAGATTCATACCTACTACTAGTTATTACTAGGTAGGTCGAGGTATTATAGAATACGGCGTAATTAAAATTCTACTAGTAGCTATTAGTAAGAAGAAAAATCATAAAAAATAAAGTTAGTACTAGACTATTAGTATAGTTATTACTACCTATAACTAGTAGTATCTAATACTACGAGCCCTTTAATATAACTAGTAACTACTAACTATTACTAGTTAACTAGTTAGTTATATAAAATTAAAATTAGTAATATATAAGTATATATCTACCTAGGTAGTAGTAGTTATAGTAGCTACTAGTAATAATAGTAGTATAATAACTAGCTAACTTATAATATCTATATTACTACTAGCTCCTTAATATAACTAGTAATTACTAGTTAAATAAAATATTAATCTAAATAATCTAGCTAGTTAGTTAGTTAGAAGTCGAAAATAATTTAAAATAAAGAGGTAATAATAATAAATTCTATATAATTACTAGTAATTACTAGATATTTATAGATAAATTATAGTTCTATAATATAAAGAAGGTATATATATATATATATATATATATATATATATTCCGAGTATATATACTATTTTATATTAATAAAAAGAGAATAATTACTAGTAATACTAGTAATACTAGTAACTTCTAGTATAACTAGTAATTATAAGATATATTAAAAAGATATTAGTATTATAGATACTACTAATTATAGGTAGTAATAACTATACTAATAGTCTAGTACTAACTTTATTTTTTATGATTTTTCTTCTTACTAATAGCTACTAGTAGAATTTTAATTACGCCGTATTCTATAATACCTCGACCTACCTAGTAATAACTAGTAGTAGGTATGAATCTATAATAAACATTATTATATTTCACCTATAATATATAAAACACACCTAATAGCTTTAGTTAATTAGTTATTACTAGTAATAACTAGTATTACAACCTAGAGGGTATAATCCTAATACGGGTACTCTACTAGTAATAGCTAGTAATACCTATAATCTAAAGGGAGCTGTAAGGTAATTTATGTATCAAACCGGCGGGCTGTTAGGTGTCCGATAAAATACGAGCGATAGTTTGTTAGGGACGTTTTACTAGTAGCTCCAAGTTTACTAGTAACTCTAAGTGCGTTACTAGTTAACCACACCTAACAACCTAACAGCTCGCTCGGTCGTAATTTATCTTTATTACCTTCTATTAGTAATTACACCCTACTACTACCCCCCTACTATGACCTACTAGGAGCAACTAGTAAATTACGACCTGACAACCTGACAACCTGACAACCTGACGACTACTGCGCCGCTTTAGAACCTGTGCGGCCATATTGAGGCCTACCAATTGCCTTGGTGAGGGCTAAACCTCCCCCATCTTATTAGCAATCCCGCCCATAATCGTTCCGATCCCCGCGCCCCTGAGCGCGCTTCTGCTCGTCTTCCCTGCGAATACTCGTAACATAATTACGGAACCGATTAGACATCTCTAGCCTGGAAGTGCGCTTTAGTGACAATCGTCCCCAGTGACTCATTGTATTCCGGATCCCTCCCGAACTCCGCCAGCGTGATAGCCGTCTGTAGTGCATTGCGGATATCGCGCCCGTTCAGTTGTGTCTCGTTGGTGGTATCGAGAACCCACTTCTTCGCATCGGGTGTGATCTGGATCTTACCCGCGCGGTCGCACACCAGCTTCCGGAAAAAGCCGTTCCAGACCTTCCGCCCCGTTTCTTCATTGAGAGACTGGTACCCGATTGCGACATGGACACGTGAAATGAAGGCATCATCAATCTGTCCAACACGGTTAGTGGTTAGGAAGAGGAGGCCTTTAAAATATTCCATTCGTCGGAGAAAGGCTGTGAATATATCGTTACTAAATTCCTGTGACGTGATATTTCGGACTGCAAGTTACCTGATACCAATCCGTTTCGGGCGAGGTCTCGATTCTGACGTCGTTGACGAAAAATATCTGCTTCATCAACGAGGAGCACTGCATTCCAGGCTTCCGCGAGATTAAACCATTTCATGAGGTGGCTTTCGACTAGTGTCTCGATTGTGCCGATATCAGCCACTGTGAGCGCGAGGAGCGGCCGGTGCAACCACTCAGAGATAGCCTCTACCCTCCGTTAGCTGGTTCTCCCTATTGGGATATTCATGAATGGCGTACCAACTGTGTAAGTTTTGCCAACACCCGGAGGACCTGGGAGGATCTTGTCAGATGGGTATTAATGACAGGAACAGCTAACGAGGAGTTACCGTGGAGTAATATAATCTGCCCAGAACCCTTTCCCTCTATGAAGTCGGCAGACCAATGCCCGACCTTGCTATTTTGGCGGTTTGAGAGAGCCTGGATAGTCTTCAGCTCGTCTTGTCCAATAACTAGATTTGAAATACTCTCTGTTGAACTCCCAGGCATGCATGCATGTTTGTTTGCTGCAGACTGAGCCTTTTATTTGCTATTTGCTATTTGTTGTTTGCCACAATGAGTAATGTTCAGATGGCTTGCAGGGTATATAAACCCCTGCATAATTAGTTTTAGCAATTAAGAATCTTTCTCCTTCTTTTTCCTACACTCGGTAGTAATCTTACATAGATTGCTCATTACTCTCATTTGACGGCACCGATTCACGAATGTAGTTGAGAGAAAGCAAAACTGAAACGATATTAGTGTCATTTATATGGCAATCGGTAAAGGAGCCTTACTCCATTGTTTTAGATAAAATACTATTTTTCATAGGTATACCAATATTCTTACTTTTTGTTTATAGTAATCCAAAAATTTTATATAGTATACTATTTAAAAAGGGTAAGATAAATATATTAATCATATAAAGTATTTCATATACGAGCGGCGCACACAAATGACCCTGAAAGTCACTTGCAACATCATTTTAGGTGAGCGCAGGCGTATAATACCTTGTTCCCGGACGAGTCGTCCAGGCAGGAAATGTTGGTTGTTGCATACTATTGGCGGGGTACGATTTGCCATGTCATCGCCTCATCCGACGAGTGGTAGCTACAGGAGTCATGGCGAAGCGCCGTATGCACGGGGATAAAGAACTGCGGCGAGGCGTATTTACCGCCCCCTTTCCCCCAAACATCTCACTACACGGGATTATAGCTACCCAGAAGTACTTGATTACTACTCCGTACCTCCACTCTCGATGCGAGGCACGAGGCATACAACACAGCACATACATTATGGCGCATTCCACAGAGACCGTTTCCCCTATGCTAGAGAAACATCACGGACAGAGTCAAGTCAGTCAGTTTCTTGGCCGCTGGCTTCCTGCTCACCCACGCTCCTTTAAAAATAAGAAAAAAAAATGGAAAATGAAAACTGAAAACACGCAGAGGGCCCATAGCTGCTTATTGGTGTCTTCGGGCGAGATGATATAGAGATTGGCGCCTTCGGCTCCTTGGGCTGAAAACCTATCTATCGGGTTTCTCAACTTATACCCACACTTATAGATATAGACAAGGTTATTCAATAATAATGGATACTTGTTCAATTACTCCAACATCGATCTTTAGGGTACCCATTGCTTTATTTCCCCGACTTACCCCAAACCCAAGAGATAGGCTGCGAGTGCGCATAGCGGTCTCCCTCGAATTGAATACCCTGAAGGATAGAGACTTCTTCCTTGGTACAAGAAACCGCCGTTAAGCCCAACTATCTCTTCCACTCATTTCTCAGCTGCGAAAAGACAAACGCAACATGCCGTAGCCTTGGTACTTGAATCGCCCAATGCTGCGAATCGAATTTGCCCTTCTCTTCCTTCAGATCTCGAACGTCTTCATAATAAAGATCCCGGGAATTCGATGCAGAAAAAGGAATTCCTGATTAGTGGACGCGTAAGAGGCATATCCAGGAAGTTTAGTTTTAGCCAAATCCAACCAACTGGAAATACGCTTGTAAACAACGCGACTTCCGCGCCTCTCGTACTTGTGCAGACGACTCTTCGAGATGCAAATCTCGTGCACAACAACATTGGTCATTCCTTGCATTTTACGGCGCCTTGCTTCTTGGAAAGCCCAATATCTGTCCACTGTAACTGAAATTAAGGGCGATAGGCTTTCGCTATACCAATCGAGATGGTTCAGCACTATCTCTCGACATCCTTCATTCATAGGGACGCTTCTGCTCGAACTCGCCAATATGGCATCCATGCGCCTGTTGAAACAAGCCATAGACTCTCTACTCTCAACGCGCCATGCATGAAGGAAGATCTTGTCCTCTCGAGTCATTTTGAAATCGAAGGCGGTATATTGGAATAAAACGAGCTAGTAAAAATCAAAGTAGAGAAAATTATAGAGGAAAGAAGAAGGAGAGGGGGTGATTTCTATTGCAATAGGGGAGTGTCACATTTTAAAGCCCCTCACAATCTCCCTAGGCTTCCCTCCTAGCTCAAAAGCCTCACTCTATCCTCTGGACTTTACTCGGTTGGCTGCCCAAGAATTGCTGGATTCGGATTGGGGTACATCGCCAGCTCATCTTTCTGCACTTGTCAATGCCCAACATATCTACCAATCACATGAGGGACAAGGGTGTCTCGGTTGTTTTCTCATGCAGTGGCCGTATGATGCACGGTACCGTCTGAAAATTTTCACAAAAGCTTTTCTTAACAACTACACCTCAGCGCGAACTTTAACGAACCGCACCTACGTGATGTTTCTCAAACAGGAAAGCAATTTGATGCAGGTTGATTTTGCGAGCACAAATAGGTTGCAGGGTGTGGGCCCCAAGGCAGATTTGGAGCCCCATGGCGACGGATCTGCAGGTCGGCGCAGTAGCAGGCCAAGGGCAAAATAGCCTTATCTCGTGCGTAGTAGTGGGAGCTAAAGGGAAACGAGGCTAGGCGAGTCAAGGCAGCGCATATTACGGTCGAGGCATTGCAGAAACTTGACAAATCAGTCGCGCCAGGTCGGTAACCCGGGCCAATGGTAAAATTGCCTCATTAGGCATACAAGCATAGAAGCGTGGAAAAGAAATATGGGATGTCTCATATATTACCATTTTGTCTCATAGAGCCGCATCCGTAACAAACTTACATGAATAATCCGATATGGTGTAATCTAGGGGAACAGCGGAAAGCCCATGGTTGTACGTGGTGTTGTGGGAGATAATCGTGGTCATTCCGTATAGGCAGTTTTATAGATCTAAGTAGGACTAGTGCTATGTCTCACTAGGTTTAGCGCATGATTATCCTGATCTTGCTATATGTCTATTATAAGCACGGCGGCTTTACTATAGGCGATAATCAATTGATTCCCAAACTTAGACTTTCACTATATGCCTACTTTACTCACAAGCCTCCAATGATGGGCAAGACAGCAGCGGAGAGCATCTCAATATTACCAAAATCGTTCTTCACAGTCATCTCCGGCACCTCAGGCTGTATCTGGGGTATCATCATCACACGAGGCATCTAGCCAATTCGCGCATAGACAAAGCTGAATACTACATTACATCTGCTATGGCTTCGGTTGCTGTTCGTTTGGGAGTCAGACCCCTTAGACACCATAGCCAAAGCAGCGCACCTAGTTGTTTACTGAGGCATTAGGACAAATTTGAAATCGAGCGCCTCCCTTGCCAACTCGAGCGGCCTCGGACATCAGCGTGCTGCTGTCAGGCAGCGGCTATGTATGGCACAAGTCGCCCGTTGCATTTGCTACCTCCCACCTCTCCATACAACTACATATATCATCCTTCCATCTCTACCTTGCCAAATGTACACTATATGATACCAATAGTTTCATCGTCTATATGGGGCACCATAACGCGACTGGACTCCTCGGTTTGTACTCAAACCCCCCTTAGGGAAAATCTTCTCCAACTCTCGAATAGCGCCGCGAACGCCGGGCGTCATACGATAATCCAGCTTTTCACGCTAGTTTGCAGCCGCGTCATCCATGTCTTCATCGGAATTCTCCTCATCATGTTGCCAGTCGAACCCAAGCGCGATGATGGTAGGTCGTGCGGGATACGGCTTGATATGTAGGTTCAGTGCCTCGGGATGTCTTCGAGCTGCACTGGCGCAGATATTTTGCACCATCCCCAAGCCACCGATAAGCACAAGGAACCATGTATTCTCTTTCAGCCCTGACAACATGATGAGAAGAAACGTCCACAGCAGAACAAGGCCTCCTAGCAGCCAGGGTGTCTCGCTTAGTGATTCTGACGTCGCTGTCGCCATTTTCTCCAAATCAACTGCGCCATCTTTACCAGTGAGCACCATAGCATGTCGATGACCGTTACCACGCAGTAGGCATACAGTCTTGGTTTTGGTTTTTCTTTGAACCGATCTGTCGACTTCAGCCGCGGCCCCGCCCATTTCTCGAGGTCCCATTGCCGTAGACTACCCGTGAGCAGGGCAAAAATGGTGCCGCAAGCTATAAGAAGAAAAATAGCCCAATTTCCGAAAAATATCCATGGTACAATCGATATTATAAGCTGGGCCATAATCACTAGCTACCCTATAACTCATGGGTGATCAATTTTGGGGTTTCTAGGCCCCTGTTGGAGCTCAAAGATATGATAAATAGTTGACTATCTCTAAGAGTACCGCGATGAAAACCTTCACAGATTTTCCTTTCCTCTTAATCAGAAGAGACCATTGTACCTTTTGCATTTGTGGAGAAGACCACAAGGTACAAGGAGCTGTATATCGTAGTTCGCTTTATCGAAGAGAAGAAAGCCAAAGAGACTGACAAGCAAAGGAATGAAACAGACCTAATGATATTCCTTCCCTCTTGGATGATATGTGGATTAGTCAGGTTATTCAGAACAACTATAATCAACAGGGACCCCCGGACGAATCCGTGTATTGATCTTGATTATATTGAGCTTCCTTGACTCTAAGTATCACAAACTAGAACTATGCAAGCCTTGTTTTCATTTATTACCCTAAGGTCATAGGTGACGCAGTCTCGCCAGCTAAAAGATCTCCCGAAGCAAGGCCTTGAGAAATCCATCCTTCTTAGCAGCCGATTTTGGGAATATCTTTCCAGTCTCAATCGTGTACTTCCTGAGTGCGTTTTGACTAGCAAAGTGTTTGACTTCCTTTCCTGTGCGACGGGAGTCGACCAAGTCGACCAGATTCACGTGTACCTTTGCAAGAGCCTGGCAAATTCAGCATGAGAAGAGACTAGAGCTAGAGAGCCTTCGGGGTATAAATCGTACTTTTCGACATTGTTTGATACTTTGAATTGAATTTTGAATCTTCAATTCAAGACATAGGGCCTGCCAATTCTCCAATTTTGTCGCATCGGTGCCAAAGTGAATAGCAAATTCGGATTCCAGGAATTTCGAAAGTTCACTTCGATATTTCCTTGAACCTCTCTTCCAATTCATTTCACGTGATAGATGGTTGAACTCATCTATTGCAGGTGTTTTGGTTTGCACTCCGAAGTCAGAGTGACGAGAAATGTGATTTGGGGTCTCCATGTGGAGGTTGCCTACTTTAAAGTGTGTAGGCACAATAGGGGAAGAAAAGAGTATGCAATACCAGCTCAACAAAATAGAATGAGAATAGTAAAATCACAGTTCACAGCTCCAAGTCATCAAGCAAGAATCATCTGTGTTTATCATATTCTGGGAAACAGGCAGACCTTGCCCCCGGGTTACGCCTCGCTATTCATAGCTCGTGCCTGTGGGCCAACCTAACAAGGGTCTACAGCGAGCTAAGACAGCCACAAGTATCGACGGTATCGATGATTACAGTGAGTACTGAAATTATCATAGGCTGATCAGTCTATGAGACTGGCAAATGCGATCATCGAGAAAGAACATGCAACCAGCGGCTCTCGATGTGTATGAGCTTCAGTTCAATGCTAGGACTTGATCTATTGAGCGAGGCTTTGGGCTTTGTGACAGGGCAAAAAGAACAACCTTGCCACTTTGCGAATCTCCATAGGAATCAATGTTCAAGGCTTTTTTTACAACACACTTTGCTGCCTGACTACCTCACTTGGAACCGGCAGAAGTTCTAGATTCATGTATCACTGTTACCATGACCTTGGTAAACATGGTGGCTACGTTCAAGCAAGACGAGATAATCGATGTCGATTCTTTTATACAAGTGCACCCATATCTGCTTTGAATGGGGGTTCACCCGCCCCCAATTCCAAACTTGAAGTTATTCGGTTCTATCCAAGTCGGTAAGCAGGGCGCATAAGCTCTGGGGTATGGGTTTTTAGGCAGCAACAGGATTCATGAGACCTTCATGAACTCTCAAAAAAGTCTTCCTATATCTATAAATGGTATATTAGTATGAAGGGTGAAAAAGTCGGGGCATAATTTCGAAGGCTTTACGGAGGATACAGATCATGTTAAACCTGTTAAAACTCCATGAGGTGGTCTAGATCGAGATTCTACTCCGTGCATTGAACTTGAACCTCCATGGGGCTTCGTCCTGTTCAGAAGAATACTGCGACTAGGCGCAGCTGCGTTTCTGCCTTGTCCCCACAGTGGTGTATCCGTGGCGCGGCGCAGTATTCTAAGCGCCCAAAATTTGTCTGAGCAAATGAAAATCGAGCAAAGGAAAATGAGGGAATTCTTTCAAATGACAACGCATCATAACGTGCTGCGCAACCGAAATGCTGTGGTAAATACAAGATCTGCGACAGCTATTACCCCTCGTAATCTATCGTATGTACATACTATGTACTATGTGTATCGGATGGACTAGCTCGCAACTGAATGATCTTACCGAGTAGCAAAAAGACAGCTCTCGAAGCAACATAATACAACAGATATTTAACCATCTACGTAAAATGGGTTGTGAAACATAGAGTAAGGAGACCACGCATGAGACCTAGGAAAAGTCTCCAGAAACGACTTCTTCGATAATTGCTAACCTTTTTAGAGTCCTATGTAGCACTTTGAAACCTCAACAAAAAGCTCCTGCAGGCCTTCCGAACTTATATTCTGTGCTCAGTCCCCATTATCGAGGTCACGCCGCCGGGAATCTGATGAGAGCTCTACCTTCCAAGGTTAGTATCGCGTGCCTGGTGTTGTTAGTTCCCAAATCATTGATACGGCATAATCTTAAACAATGATCCAACCTTTGGAAAGCCATCGTGAGATTTGTAGGACAAAACTACGTTGCATTTATCTCCTAAGTCAGGTAGGTGGTGCGAAACCCATGGATACCCCGTTAAAATATTTTGCTCAACCAAATTGAATCTCAGGGGAGTCAAACAGTTTCATGAAACAATCCATTTCATTTACCGATCAAGTTACACTATAGCTTTGTAGTACATGGCTTTCACGAGATTCGTTCGCTGGCTAGGGAATAACGCTATGTCTGATTCATGATTAGTTCGGGCCTCGTACACTATATTGAAATGAAAGTTGGTCGGGCAAACCAACACTCACATCTGGGGAAATCATCCTCTGGGCCTTCGAGTTCAAGATCGATAATCTGCTTGGTGAAGTCTTGGTCATCAAACTTGTTCATGTTTCGTGAGATTTTCAGATACAGCCATAACCTTTCAGGAGGAAATTCCATGAAGAAACCACGTAAATTACTGCGAACCTCAAGTTTTGCTTCACTAGAGAGGCTTGAAGTTTTCAGCGCCCGGTCAAGTTTAGTCCTCAATATCATCATGAGACCGGCTTGGTGGGTATCGCTCCAAAAAGCTCTTTCGCTCGCTTCTGTAGCTCAAGATGTCAATACATATATATTTGTAACAGAATATTTCTGACTCACCTGGATTCATCAGCGAATAAGCTTGGGGTAGCATTTCCGTACGCTTCTCATGTAGAAGTTTATATGCAACTGTGTACGTCACAAATGAGGACATGAACATGCGTGGAGGTGAAGAAACACCGCAAGGCGCATTCATTCTGCAACTGACAGAGCTTCCGAGATCACGGGCGATTTTCTCAAGCGCTATCAAGTGTAGATGACGGATGTGACGTGGATCAAGAACAGCTTTCATGCCAGTCGTCTCCGATTTGAAATATTGTTCTAAGCTTGATTTCAGTGATCCTTGAGAGTGATAGATGATTGATGAGGTGGTATGGGCTTCTTCTAGAAAGATGTTGTTTATGCTTGTCGTATGGTGGCGCGAGAGATTGAAACATTGAAACAGAAGTTTTTATCAGTCTCACGAAAGCAGGTTGGTGAAGTAATCTCCGATGCCGTATACATAGGGCGACATGGTCGAACGGGAAGATCGTGTAGTATTGATCCTGCTTTGGATTGAGATGTTGAGATTGAACTGCCATTGCAAGTCGATTTCGCGCCCCCCTGAGCCAATCTTGCGATTGACCTTCTGACTGAAGAAGATGACTTCGTAAGATAATGATGAGCCGTGGAGATATCGGGGCAAAATTGTGGTACTCGGTATAAAAGTTGGCATCGGCCTTTTGGGTAATCACGTTATATCTCGTTGTTGACGGGCCTTCAAAAATGGAGTACGCATTTTGAGTCAGCAGAAATTCATCCCCTGGATTGGTCGGTTCACAGAACGCTATGAAGCTCCAAGTTAGATGTATTTGCATCATCAGAGCATCGTCAGGGTAGATTTGCGCTTTGAGGGTGTCAATCCAGTCCCTCGCGGGGTCCATATCAAGATCCAAGAACCGACGCAGGTTATCAAACCACACGTCACGCGGTCTCGTAAACCCCTTTGACTGCATATAACTTAACAATCTTTTCCGGTCATCCGCCTCGTATTGGTCAATCTGGTTATGGTTGTATCGGTCAAACATTCCCGAGTTTCGATATTTCATTAGAAAAAGAAACTTCCGGAGCCTATCAAGCTCAATCCGGTCCATTTCAAGGTCCAGGCCTTGAGAGAACAGGTTGCATGCACGACGGATGATCTCGCTCGTTTGAGACTCAAGAAGTGAAAGCTTCTTCTCGAGATGATAAGGATTTTCTTCGAAACCAGTATCACGATACAAGTCCACGAGGGAAAATTCGGTTGAGACAGGTCGCTGACTGAGGACGCATCTTTCAAGATCAATCTTGTTCACAAGAAAATCACGGCCACGATATTTATTTCTTTTCGTCGTACCAGCTTCCGCAGCTGGCAATGCTGGTGGTTGATTCTCCGGTACAAATTTTCTTAAGATAAACCGTGGGATAAAGTGATGGTTCTGCTTTGATGGCTTCATCTTGGTGGTAGATTGGGTTCTTTCCCTTCTTCTGGATTGATGCAATGGGAATATCGTTTCTTCTATATATGGTCAAACTATGAGAATGTTGGTCCGACATGTCAGCCTTGTGTATCTTGATCGAATTCTGCTCAGTTCAGAATCCACATCTTCGGGCGGTTATTGATTGGACCATGTGTGTTGCGCAGGACTGCCACCAACAACTAGCGCCCATCCAACACAAAAACGAGACCAAATAGGGCGTTATTGTAGAAGAAAATCCCTGCATTTACCAATCGATAACCCCATCTCATGAATAATACACACAGCCCTGTATCATAAGCTGGTACGAGTAGTGATGTTGGTGGGGCCGAGCGCGTGATGACAAGGAATATGGAGCCCACTGGTCCGGATCAATAGCAAAAATGTCTCTTCTGCAAAATTTCAGTAGGGCGATGAAATAAAAAGGAAAGGATGCTGGTTGAAGGAAGGAGCTAAACGAGGGACTTCATACAAAGCCCGCGCACGGGAACGCACACGGACAAAGAGCGCTAACCCTAATGTAGTCAATAGCGTAAGTTCCGAATATCTAATATCCGATATGGTGTAAGCCAAGGTCACAACGGAAAGTCTACGATTATGCGTGAATTTGCGGGGTAGAATCGTGGCGTTTCCGTATAGTATAATAATCAGCCTGGGGCTTCACGTCACTTAGGCAGAGTGAGTGTAGGCTTAGACTAAATTATGGCGCGACATTACTCAGCGTGGAGAGACAGTATGTTTGGGCCAACGAACAGGGGGCCGTAGCCCCCAGCGGCACAGAGCTCATCAACTTTGGAGCGGGTACAATAAACGGTCCAGGGTTGCGCAAAAAAGACACAAGGTGATTTCGTTCCAGAATCTAAAGAAAGGACGAGAACAAAAGCAAAGATAAACAAAACTCCGCTCAAAATAAAGCAATACGTGTCGCTCGTACGGTAACGTAACCTCTTCTAATCCTCCTCAAAACCTCTTAAGCCGGCACAACTATCATGCTTAGACAGCAATATCCTCAACTAGATCAAGAAGGCATTTCTATAGCTTCTTATAACCTCCTTCCTAAGACAGAACACGGCGACTTCATTAATATCCTAAGATACTATTTCATACACATCATAATAAAGCACATCCCAGATATAGAGTTTATCGCCAGATTGGAAGATCATTATAGAGGCATCGTCATCCTCTAACATCGGTCGTCCTAGAGTAAGACCATAGCCTCGAGCAATCTTTTAACCCGCGGAATTAACACCATCCCACTCGTATTCAAAACTAGGGCTCCCGGGACGTACCGTCCAGCCCGGGGGAACGATAAACTATGCTTATAAGTGACTCAACTTGAGCTAGTAGAATTTCTTCTTACTAGTAGCACGAGAGGGCCTTCGCTAGTAGACTTAGTAGGCGAACGAGCGGGCAAGGTAGATATAGGAGGTAACGGAGGCTAAGGAAACATAAGCGGCGTGACTTAGATTAGTGACATATAGAAAACTCACAGGTGATCGAGTAACGCTACTAAGCTAAGGCGTGATAATCGTGGCAGAATAGCTATTACAACGTATAAAAAAGTATTATTAAGATAAGTTCGTTAATCTAAATACCTAAGCTTCAATAGGTAGCGGAGATCCGAGATCGACGGGGAAGTAGATCCGGGGGAAAATCATCTACCCACGTGATCCCGCCGCCTAGCCTCTAAGGTTCCAGATACTAGTTAGTGATAGAAATCTATCTATATTACAATATATTATACAACTAGCAGATATTAACAACTCTATCTAACATAAATAACAAAAACCCGCTATTTCAACAATTTGAGCGGTACTAATGACTAACCATATTAATAGTATACCGAGTACTCGAAATCATATGATCTACTATACATAGTATAATACCATATAAAATTCATATATTCGATCTTAGACTTTGACAGTTAGTTATAGTGACCTACCTAGGTATACAGACACCACCGCCGAGCATTCTAAGATTCGCTTGCTCCAATATTATCCCTTCTTTATATATACTTATAGTACACCTAAGTTCTAGCTAGCCAATTGGCCGCACGCAGTATACGTCTCAGGCACCGCACATATACAATCCCTACAAACCTCTCGGAAGCTCACCTCAGGACAGGTCCGTCCACGGGTAGTCCCAGACTTACTAAGTAAGAGTTAGAAACCTCAGGGCTCGAGTTCTCCATCCAGATAGGTAGTTTTATTACGATGGAAGGACTAGTATATAGTACATATACATTCACAACCACCTTGCCTATTTAGCTATTCTCAACATACTCCTAAGACCTTGTTAGCTCCAGCAACTTTATCTTCCCCGGGTTCCAGGAACTATGTCTTTCATAGTCATTTACTATATAGCAGGATTTGGGGTGTTAACACTTTGGCGTAGTGACTTACTAAGTGTTTTGGGAGTGGTCAGCTCGCTTACCGATTACATTAACTAGTTATATGTATGTAACTAGTTAGTCATACCTACGGTGACACCGCAAATTTCCCTTTCCCTCCCCTCACGTCTCCATCTCATTCTCGATCGCCGATATGAGTGACATTGTCGATTTTATTTCTCCAAATGCCCCAGACCTACCTAGTAAAGAGCAAGTTAGATTGCTTTGCACTAAACAAGGTCGGAGGGACAACCATTTCATCCACGTCCACAATGGCGAAAAGCTTTTTATCAAATATAAGGTCCCTTATTGCGAATAGAAAAATCAACAATTTTTATTTAATCGGATTAGGGCAAGCGCCGCTATTCGTATTCCTGAAATTTATACCGTATTCGGTATATCAGATAGACTATATCTAATTATAGAATTCATTCAAACCGACTATATTGCGTCCGATATACAGAGAGCAAGAGCTATTTCTGATCTTATTTCTATCGAGGTTGTTGGGATCATATCACATGACCTTGTTTGTCAGAACTGTCACATGTCAATAACCAGATAGTCTCCTCTCCTCTCTCTTCTTCTTTTCCCCTTCTCATCATCCAGAGATCGTCAACCATCAGCAGTTAGCCTCAATACTATTGCATTGCTGATCTCATCTCTTCTCCTGACTCGCTGTTAGGTTATGAGCCTTCGCTCGTTCCGAGCGCCGCTTTTTCATCGATTTTCGAAGCTGGGGTAGCTGGCCCTTTATGGGCTCGGCTACCCCCGGCACCCGGTACCCCGGCGTTCTAGAATCCTATACCTCCGATTTTCCCACGAGCTTAGGGGAAGAGTACTAACTACGCGTACGATCGCGTATTTCAAACTTTTTCGACGGTTTTACCTCTTTCGGCACCGTCTATAATAATTTTTTTTTCGACGCGACCGGAAGAAGTTCGGAACGCGTAATCATTCTTTTCTCGAGACCTACGGCAACGGATATTCGACGCAATACTAATAAGTCGTCACGTTACGTTCAACGTAATCATTATTCTCGATATACAACAACGGTTTTTTAGGACAACAATAACTACAAAGCTAAGGCTAGGGCTAAATATAAACTATGTAAGTTATAAGAGCTAGTGCTAGTGCTAGGTAGGTACCTAAAGCGAGAGCTAGAGCAAGTTGCTAGAGCTAGAGCTAGGTCAGAGCTATATTTGAGCGAGAACCTATTATACTAGAGCTAGTTGCCGCCTAGTATTAGTGCTTTTTACTAGAGCGAGTGCCGCCTAGTGTTATTACTAGTGCTTATGCTATTGCTAGTGCTTGTTTGTTAGTTCGATTCGATATTCAATAAAAGGGGTTTTTTTTCTGAAGGATTAAGGGGGTGCATTGGAAGTGCATTTGGAGTTCTACATTTAGAGTCAGTTCTAAGGGGGTGTGTTGGGATCATATCACATGACCTTGTTTGTCAGAACTATCATATATCAATAACTAGATAGTCTCCTCTCCTCTCTCTTCTTCTTTTCCCCTTCTCATCATCTAGAGATCGTCAACCATCAGCAGTTAGCCTCAATACCATTGCATTGCTGATCTCATCTCTTCTCCTGACTCGCTGTCAGAGGTCCCCCTTAATATAACACCAGGTCCCGTCGGCGGGGGGTATATCCATATGAGAATCTTTTGGGATAATCAGATATCGGATATTACCTACCCTTCTATCCAGGACCTAGAGGGTCATCTTAATCGTGTTTGTATCCCAAGCTTTAAGACTAAATAGTTTTAGAACTAATGAGCAATCTATGTAAGATTACTACTAAGAGGGAAAAAGTAGAAGAAAGATTCTTAATTGCTAAAACTAATTATGCAGGGGTTTATATACCCTACAAACCATCTGAATATAAACAACAAATAGCAAACAAAAGAAGGCTCAGTCTATATTAAACAATCAAGTATATATGCCTAAGGGTTCAATACACCCCCTAGACTAAGTATTAAAAATAAATCATAAAAATCAATCTAGTTTATATAGTAAAATCATATATAAAATCAATAATTTCTAAGTATTAAATTCTATTAATTTATTGTTATTTCCTTCTTAATTTTCTTCGTAACTAGTTGCTCTCTTAATCTTTTAAAATTAACCTTCGGTAAGGCCTTTATTAATATATTAGCTAGATTTAACTTTAAATTAATAACTCTAATATTAATCTATTTAGCCTTCTAGGTATACTTTACGAAGTAGTATTTTATATCTAACTACTTAGTACTCTTTTTAAAAGTATTATTCTTTAAGATTATAATTATATTATCGCTATTAATATAGATTAGGATTTAAACTTTATCTTTAACTTTAAGATTTAGCTATTAAAGGATTTTAACTAGATATAATACTTCCTATACCGTACTATCTAATATAATATACTCTATAATAGTACTTCCGGTAGTAATAATATCTTACTTCTAAGAGCTCTATAAAACCGGTACTCTAATATAATAGAAAATATAGGCCTTAATTAATTTACTATCTTTATAATTATTATATAAAGAATTAATATAGCTAATTAAACTATCTTCTTTAATTATTAATTTAACTTTATAATCTAAA